GGCCCCTTTCATGTCTCATCTGTTCTGTTACCGTTTTTTAAATCTCCTGTGCCCCCATTAAAAGCTCCTCAAGGCCCCCTCCTCAAGCCACCCATTCCAGTTTTGTGATCTGTACTCGAACAAGCATTTATGTAAAAGTTAAAATCTAGGATTCAGCCAGGTGTTGGTGACACACACTGTTAATCCCAGCACTGGTGAGGCAAAGTCACCAAACTTACAAAGGTAGATCCTTGTAAGTTCTAGGCTGGCCTGGTCTGTAGAGTGAGTTCCAGGACAGCCAAGTCTACACAGAGAAACATTGTCTTGAACCCCCACATGAGATCTAGGATCTACTCACAAGAAAGAACATGCATTGTTTGTCTCTCTTGCTTATTTTTGCTTAACACATGGATCTCCAGTTCTGTCCACTTTCCTGCAAGTGCCGTGACTGATTCAGTTTCTTTGTGGCTGAGTAGAAAACTGTTCCAAAAGCCACTTGTTTTGCCAGATGTGTGTGGGAAGTTGTCTTTGCGGAGCAACAGGTCAGCCGATTTGCCTGGTTCATACCTGAGAGGGGGAGTGTGGATTGAGAAAGGGTAGGTAAAGATGTTAAGAAAAAGACAGAGACACAGGATAGAGTCAGGAGGGCAATCCAGTCAACACTGAATGCCCTTAGTTTATTCTTCAACATTCTTAAGTACCCAACCAAAAGGGGGACATGATAGAAGACTTCTATTATCATGTATAAGGAGCAAACAGACTTACTTTCCTAAATCCTCAAGGTAATTTGGTAGCCACACCTGTTATCCGTTATCCGGACTTGAGGGTCAAGAGTAAACACACCTCAGCCAAGTCTGTTGTTATTTAGATAAGACATTTGCTACCAAGGCTGAAACATCTTGCAGTAGCCAAGGCTTAGACCTTTAGGTCTTTTGACATACTAAGGACAGTTTTGAGCTCTCTGATCTTGAGGCAAGATGAAGGGGACCCATCTTTATGGGCCCCAACAGATGTGGTATTTGAAACTTCTGGAAGAGACTTTTGTGGGAGTGGGTGGGGTGGAGGGAGAGGGAGAGATATATGTTGCTAGACACATAAGCCCATGTAATTTCGTGACATTTAAGTTTCCCCAGTAGAAAAGATAAGCAGTTTCCATTCTCCCCACCCATTTCATTTATTAAACAGTCATTCGAGCTCTATCTGCAAGTTCTGGAAGAAAACCAGGGTGGAAACAACATTTAGTACAGCCAGTCTGGCAAACTGTCCCTAGCCCTTGCTGGTCCAGGTTTTGTGGGTGATACAAGCCAATCGAGGGAGCAGTGGAGAACAAAATGACATGGGCAAAGCCAAGAAGTGGTGCTGAGAGTCTGGTGTATGTACCTTCTGTGTGACTGCACCAGAGGGAAGCAAGACCCTGGCCTTAGGAATATGAACCTTTGGTTCTGAGGACAGATTGGGGGAGGCAGTGGAAGTGGACAAAATGGTGGCTGGGAGGTCGCTGAGGGTAATGGGAGTCTTTAGGACTCCCTCAATTAACTACTTGAAGGGAGATTTCCCACACTTGGCACTGGGGCTTCGTTAGATGCTCTTGAGGCAAGCAAAAAACTACCGATAGGGTCCACCGTATGCAATTTCAGTGGTACACTTAAAAGCTCTCATAATTCTGTCCATTCTTGGGTATGCACTTTCCATACTGTTATAATCTTGCAGATTAAGTTCTCCCTATTACATATGAGATGGCAACTACCCATTATCCAAAGAGACTTTTAAGACATGAAGGTTCTGGCTCATGAAACATTGGCAGAGCCACAGCCCGAGTATGGAAATTATGTCTGTTGCAAATTAACATAATAACAGATCTGATAACAGAGATCCCACCTTGAATTTGGGTGCTTTGGGAAAGTCTATAAAGCACTTGGCATAACTAGATTCCAATGGCGTTGTCATTAAGTTGTGGTATATTTTGCATGTTGATGCTGTTTGCCTCTGGATGTTCAGATGAATCAAGAAGACAGCTTGCTGAGTCTGCAGAGAAGCTCCTTCCAGAAGCCCCACAGAGCTCACTGGGAGCTTGAGGGTCCTCATTCAGGACTTGTGTGTCTCCGCTCTGAGTTCAGAACACTGCAGACCCCTTTCTAGACGGCCAGACTGCTGTGCGAGAGCTTAGACACACGTGCTGCCCATTCCTCATGCTCAGAGAAAACAGTGACAATGGCCAAGTTCATGCTGTATAGGATCTGCTCACCAGTGAAGCATTTATCTAAATGGCTCTATTATTAGTAAACACTCAGGAGTCAGATATTAAGGTAAAAACCTGATAAATTAAGAAAGCAGTGGCGTTCCGATCCCTAAGAGTTGAACATTTACCTCCTGAAAAGGCCAATTTGGATGCCAAGATCCTGTGTTATAATTATTATGTCCGCACCTAAGTCTACCATACCTGCAATGATAACGTCATTTATTTGTACTTTTAATTGTGGCCTCTGATCATTTATAGAAGTTTGCCACAATACTCACTTTGTGATTTTTTTTTCTGACTTTCTTGTTCTCTCTTTTATGGCTCTTCTATCATCCAGAGCAGTATGTTTTATTACAATAGATATTGGGCTCCTTATTTGCTCTGCGTAATGGTTTCCTTGGTGACAGGAAAGGACTGAACTGAATTTGGCATAGGGGGCTTCAAGAGGCCCTTCAGGGTGTTTCCTGATGGCGGCAAAGGATTACCTTGGTACTCTCTGGTTGACCTACATTTCTTTGTCAGTGAACTGTGATGTGTAGCATGTCTGAATTGGAGAACTAGCTTGTGGCTGTGAGCTGAGAATGTCAGCCCAAGGAGAGAGGGGCTGTAGGAAAAGCCCAAAAGCCTCCCAAGTTTGGGTGGCAGCTGAAGACTGTAGAAAAGCTACAACCAAAAATCCCACACTTGCTCAAAGATTTGAGAAGAAAACTTGGCTGCTCCAGCAGGGACTCAGGCTGGAGGGACTCAAGGGGGAGGGAGTCCTGCCTGCTACTCAGGCTTGGGCCGGGTGTGGGCCAGGCCCCTTTGCCTCAAAAGCTTTTTTGTGAATTCTTATGTTAACGTTGTTTGCCAATTTGTAACATAAATAAATAAAAGACCCAGAGACAGATATTGGGGTTCAAGTTGAATATCAGAAAAGCAAAGCAGCCAGTCACTATCTTATATCTCTGCCTCAGTCTGAATGGGCTGATCCTGTCTCCATGGCTCTCACCAAGCCTCAGACTGTAACCTCTCCTCAGCATGGCTGGAGAATGAATGCCTCTCTGAGACCTTGCTTCTGTCTTATACACTTCCCTAATGTTGGATTTAAAGGAGTGAGCTATAATTCTCTTTTAGACTGATTCATTCATGTGTACATCTGGGTGGCCTTGGACTCACAGAGATCCATCTATCTCTTAATCCTGAACCCTAGGATTGAAGGTGTGTACCACTACCTCATAGCTTCTGGCTGCTGGGATTAAAGGTGTGTGCCTGGCTTCTATGGCTCCTGGCTGACTTCGCTTTTCTGAATCCTCAGGCAAGCTTCAATAAATCATAAATAATACATAAATAATACAGGTCTCTGGCCTATGGATTTAAATATTATCACACTGGGAGGTAGCTCATTTGGTAAAGTGGTTGTTGTTTTTCACCGAGTTCAGGGGCTGCCCCTCATACAACTGGTGCCCTAATCAGCAATTACAACTCCACTGCTACCGGCAACAGTTCAGCCACAAGGGCCACAGCCTGTGGGAATTCTCTTCTCTCAGGAACCAGCTCTCTAAAAGTTACTAAGGGAAACTGTATCTAGATCTCTACCCCTCTGTAGAACTCAAAGATTGAGGTGAGCAAGTAGCTCACCATCTGTCTTTGCTAGCATCGCCCCCCCCCCAAAAAAAAAAAAAAAAAAAAAACTCGTGAGACCTTCTGCATGGCTTCCTCGCCACACCTGGCTCCTCCCTACCACTTCTTGTCAGATGGTTGCTGACTCGGCCTCCTGATAGCAGGTTAATGTCATTTAACCAAACAAATGAAACACGTTTTTGCATTGTAAACAAAAGCAGTAGGAAGAAACATAACACACCTAAAAATAGTATTCCACAACAAATGGTAAAGCTCTTGTTAAATAAAACAAAAGGCCCTGAGTTGATCCCTAAAGCCCACCTGGGCATGCAGTAGCTTCAGCACTGAGGAGGTATGGATTGAAGCATCCCAGAAGCTCTGAGGAGGCTAGGCTGACTGACCAGCAAGACCCAGGATCTGCCTGTCTCCATCGAGGCCTCCTCAGTTCTGGGAGTGTAGTGCTCACTGCTCACTTTTTTTTTTTTTTTTTTTTTTAAGCTGGGTGCTGGCGGTTAAACTCAAATCCTTGTGTTTGCAAGACAAGTACTTTACCAACCAAGATCTCCCTCTAGCCAACAGTAAACTGTATTTTAACAGGCATATTTTTTTCTTTTAAAATTTTAATTTTTTATTTTTATTTTTACAAGACAGGGTTTCTCTGTGGCTTTGGAGGCTGTCCTGGAACTAGCTCTTGTAGACCAGGCTGGTCTCAAACTCACGGAGATCCACCTGCCTCTGCCTCCCGAGTGCTGGGACTAAAGGCGTGTGCTACCACCTCCTGGCATAAAATTTTTTATTTTTTTAAATTTATTATTTTAAGTGTGTGTGTCTGTGTGTGTATGTGCAGATGTGCAGGTGTCCACAGAGGTCAGAAGTGTCAGATTGCTTTGCAGGTGGTTTTAGGATAGGAGGAATTTGCCCATTTTTCTCTGAGTTAGTGTATCTGTTCCATGTTCTGTGTAATTAGAATCCTGAATACGGCGACTGATGAACACTCGTGAAGCACACAGTTCTTTATCTAAAACCCCCTGATTTTAGCATAGAGTAAATCAATACAAATGTGAACCAAGGATGACATCTATGCAAGAAAACTGGAAAAACCCAAGTCGTGTAAAGCAACAATGCAGAAACAGAGCCTCCATCCAATTCTTAAGTTTCTTTCTTACTTGTGTTTCCCAAGGACTTTGGTTTTTCCCGTTCTGATCCGAGGAGGGAAACCCACACCCCTGTTTTCCTTTGCTGCTGCGATCCTGTTCTGTACCTTCAACGGCTACTTGCAGAGCAGGTACTTGAGCCAGTTTGCAGTGTACGCCGAAGACTGGGTGGCCCATCCCTGTTTCCTGATTGGTGAGTGACAAGAGGTTTCCATTAGAAAGCTCAAACTAGAGAAGGAACCACAGGTCTGTAATGTGACTTCAGGGGTTCAGAGCAGGGAGGATGAGATGGCCTTTACTTGCTCGGACCAGGAGGGAAGGCCCAAGCCAGCTACTTTGACCCATTGGTACTGAAGCCCAGGCTTGAAACATAGGGAACTTGAAAACAGCAGCGGGCTGTGTTGGGTGATGGCACTTGGTGATGCAGCGGCTGCTTCCAACTCTGTTTCTGTGGGGCCAAAAGCTGGCAATCAGGAGCAAGAGAAGGAATCTCTCTCTCTCTCTCTCTCTCTCTCTCTCTCTCTCTCTCTCTCTCTCTCTCT